TTTCATCAGAGACACATGTGTACCCTCTGTGTCCTGGATGTCCTAGTCCCTCCTATCATAACGACGCCAGTCATCCTGGGTTAGGGTCCACCCCTGTGACCCCATTTTTACTTAAAGACCTTTGGTGACCCTGCCTCCACATGGAGTCACATTCTGAGGTGCTGGGGATCGGTCCTTCGATTTGGGGAAGGCGCAGTCCAGCCCGTAACACGACTGTTTCTTGGAAGAAGGAAAACAGGTTGCCTTCAGGTTTACCTGCGGACTCAGATGTCAGACTGCCCTGTGTGAAGCCTGGCCACACCACTTAACAGCCGTGGGACCTGGGGCCAGTGACCTACCCTCTCTGAGACTCAGATTTCTCCTCTAACAATAGAGAAGGACATGAGAATAGCACCCCTCACAGGGTTGTCCTGGGGAGTAAAGGTAATGATGTCTTTACTGACTTAGCACAGAGCCTGCGGTGAAGCTGGCACTTAACATTCGCGATGCTAGCAATTATGATTAGTCGTCCTGGTGCTAAAAACTATACTATAGAGATGTACACACCACACCCATCACTCTACTAAACCAATGATCTCAGAGCCCTGGGTTGCAGCAATCTTACATTTCTCTGACTTTTCTGAATTTCTTACATCTTTTGCAAAAGGGCAAAAAAAAAAAAAGTACTTTGATGGGTTTGGGGGTTGGTTCTGAAGTATCCGTGGGGGCAGAGGGAGGCCTAGGTGGGAGGCGGGGAGTTGGAGGGAGGTGGCATCAACCCCGCCTGCAGGGCTGAGGCCTAGGTGGGGTCCCCCCCCCAACTTAGAGCGGGGTGCTGGGTGGGAGCCAGCGGGGCTGCTGGGTGGGAGCCAGCGGTTCGGTGGACCCGGTGGCCCGGTTGTCATAACAACCCCTCAGGCGCCCGAGAGGGAGGCTCTTTGAAGTTTATTTTTAGCGCCCTGGTCGCCTTAACAACAGGCAGGGGCAGGCTGGTAACCGCTGAGCACCTGGGCGTCCTGGAGACGGGGCGGGCCCTGCTCGCCGGCCTCTGATTGGCCCAGGCCCCGAGTAGGGGCCAATCCAGCGCCGCCTCCGGGCCCCGCCCTCTATGGACCAACTGAGCCACCCCGGTTCTGCCTGGGCCTGGAGGGTGGAGCGGGGCGCACAGTCTGGGAGAGGGTGGGGCAGCCGTGGGCGCCACTGAACCCC